GTGTGCAGCTCAGGGCTAAAAGGCTCGGATTACGTGATAACATCACTAACATGGGATATGCGCACTGACGTCCGAGTGGTCTTGGTATTCTTGGTTGCATCTTTCAACTAGTGCATGCATCTTGACTGATTTTTGCTACGGACAGATGGTGCCAATTTTATTGGTTTCCTGCACCGTTAAGCTGATGTGTAATCCCCTCTCCAAATTATGCAAATCCTGGAAGCGAGAGGCGCATGAAGAGTGCACAACAATTAACTGAAGTACATATGAGTTCAAAGGGTACTTCACTCAGTCCCAGGTCGATTTGTATTATTGACACTACTTCCTATAGCTCTGAACATCAGTAGTCGGGCCTAGCACTTTCACGCTTTTTTGCATAAATTATTACAAAAAAGCACTACAACAAAAAAAATCATGCCTGCTTACACCATGCTATTATTACCAATAATTTCTTCACTATTTCTTGAAATTCGACAGCAAAATTTTTCACCAATTTCAGTCGCTGTTTTTGGCAAAAATCCAATCGAACAATGCATTTGAATGAGAACTGCTTAAGCGTAAGTGTTTTTTTCTACTTTTACACAAAAACAGACAATGGGTTCCAACAGAAATTACATAGTCAGGATCGGACGGCCTGACGCGCTGCACTTGACGTATGAGAGCATTTCAGTAACATCACAGACGTGAGATATCCACACTCTTAGTATTCTTGATAATATGAAAAAATCAAGTAAAACTTGCTCATACTACCTATGGGCGTAATTTCAAATAACCATTTCAGGAATCATCGTTGCCACCATCATCATTATCATCATCATCATCGCAACTGGCACTGTCGTCCATGTGGTCAGAAGACGCTTGTGTAGTGGTACTTTCGCACGCCTTGTCTATAGCGGCGCCAGCACCGGTCCGTTCCCATGTAACAAGCCTGATCAATGCGGCTTACAACTGTACAGGTACCCCCGCACACGATAATTACCGTCAACCTCTGACCTTTCCAGACACTACCGGTTTTTATTATGTCCAGAGCGGTAATTATCTAATCATCCATGAAACAGCTCTAACGGACATGACACATGTCCACCTATTGTTGTGGACAGAATTAGACAGATCCAATATCTTGCTTCTATATCCCTTTGCAGTCTCTCTTTTCTGAGAAAACTGAAAAGGGATGAAAAAGAAAAGCCTAATTTTTTTAGTGTATTTTGCACATTTGTGCACTTGCAGAAACGCATATTTTTAAGAGATTGTCTGTATGTGTGCGTTTTCGGGAAATGAGAAAACTTTGTTATTCACTTGCAACTCAAGAACTGGTGAAGCTAGAAAGCTGAAATTTTAAGGGGCAAGTCCTTAGTCTTAATTATCTCGGCCTGTCACAAGGAATGGGCGCAAAGAGAAGCCTTCAACTGAAACCTAAAAAAGTCACGATAGGCACATGTGTGAGTAATATTGAAATTATCACAAAAGCAACTCGGGCGATTCAGAGTAAACTCAGTAGAAAATTTCGATTTTAGTTTCATACGAAAAAGCCAAAACTCTAGCAGCTTTTCTACTTCTATTCCAAAAGGCTTCCTCACGTCAATGCGACAGGGACGTATGCAGGGCTTATATTTGTTGTGAGTCAGGACAAAAGAGGAAGTGGTTTCCGCGAGTAAAGCAATTTCCTCCTTCTGCTCAAGATAGAGTTCGAATGGACAAGAGATTCAGGGGTGCCTGTTTTCCGGCCAGGAGCTCCGACAAGTGCTAAGTAAATTGGCTGGAATGAATGCGCCATTACATCATCAGGCCCCTTCCCACCAAATCACAGATCCTATAAACCCAATTGACACAGAGGTCAGCGCCCAATTCATCTCATTATGAGCCCTGCACTGCTAATTGAGAGCACTTCCACCGTCTAAGCGCAGTCAATCATCAAAAATTATGACCAATGAGCCCAGCTGTTCAAAAATCATTTCATTTATTACCAGTATCAACAGAAAGTACGGGAAAGATGAGAACTGACGTCTCTCTGGAGTGTCAGAAGCTCCTATTATCTTTCAGACTTCAAAATCATTAAAACCATGTGTGCTCGAGAAAAAAACCGCGGACTTTTGCCGCAAAGTGCGGCGTGGGCATTTTCGAAAAAAAATTTCGATGCTTTTTTTATTTTTTGGATGAAAATAAATAACTATTCCCTCGTTGCAACCGTGTCCAAACTCTGTTTTTGCAGACCGATGTGGTACCGAATGCGAGAATGGTGGTTCAGTCAATGCCAATTGCAAATGCGTCTGTGGATATGGTTTCGAGGGTGAGCACTGTGAACAGCTTTCTAGACGGAAACTTTTCACCGATCCAGCATGCGGCGTCCACGAACAAAAACAAGGAATGATTTCGTTGAGGTTAGCTTAAAATTTGTTCACGAAATAAATGTTGATGTGTTAATTTCGAAATTCTTTCCATTTTCGCTCTCAGTAAGAGACGGAGGTACTCGGGGTGTAGTCCTAGCCACTCGTTGGCGAAAATGTCGATGGCGTTCTCTTTCGAAAGTTGCTTGCAAACAAACTGATGGCGAGTTTGTTCCCCTAGCAAGTGCCTAACAAAAAGCGCTTGAGCCACTGAAGTTTTTTGGACTGTTAAGTTCGTTAAATTTTCACATGTAACATTAGAGCAACACTTAGTTTTCAAGATATCTTTGGTGATAATCTCCAGTAGTAATTTCTATTCTCTGTTTTTACCACGGTAGCTACAAACTCAGAATCTTGGTAATTCATTCTACCTCTCCACTGCAGCGCTCACATGGCTTCATTCTCTCTAATTTGCAACGGAAACAGTACATTACACGCGCACTTAGATGTTGGAATGTGTCGGAGGATCAAAACCGCAAATAGCATGTTTCTAAGTAATTCTTGAAAGAGGGAGTCATTGATAAGCTTACCAGAGGATTGCAACTGTTGGCACTCACTACTTGTCGAGCTGTTTCCGGCGTTTACCTCTTTCAGAGAAGTGTCGTGGGGGTCCTGCGAAAAGTCGGCAACTGCTGGAAGGACGTGTATTGTACAGGGTAAGGTATGTGTGGAGTACCATAAGTACAGGACGTGGAAATCAAACAAGCGCGTGAAGCACAAGAACCGATCTAGCATATCGCGTTCACATCATGGTTCCATTCCTTCCCGGTCCAAAATCACTTCCAAAAATAGGGGCAACTTTCGCTAAAAATGACTACTGAGGGTATGCGCACTAAGAAGTAAACGACAGTTTCTGCAGCCGTCGCAAATGCCCCAAACCGTAACAATCCAGTCGTTAAATTATTTAGAAGCTGAGTGCGATAACTTTTGCAGCACCTATCCAGAAACTCGGACCGGTGCCATATTTTGCCAGTGGCTAATTCGTGCACCTGCTGGACAAACAATCGAATTTTACCTTAAAGATCTGGATTTGGACGCCGACAACGTACCACCCGATCAGCCGTGCAATGACATCTTTTACATCTGGGGCACCAAATCAATCGTCAATCCGTAATCTTCATTTGGCACTTTTTTTGAATACTGCTTTCTGTAAAGCTGGTCAAATGCGCAGCAAGAAAGATGAGGATTAAAAACTGCTTTTTAAGAGGCACGGGATAAATTTTCTTTAAACTCTATATTTTTTTAAAAAAGTACATATTTTGTACTTGTACTTTTCTCTATTTCTGTTTTAGTATTTTTTATTTCTGCGGACTGCCTAATATACATATTTTTGATATCTGAATTCCGTTTTTATTTTTTCAAGAAAAAAGAATCCAGTGTAAGGAA